CAGGGCAGTCACAGCTTGAAACAGCAACAGCAAACTTGCTGAGCCTACATGTAACAGGAACAAGACACAAATATCTGTGGTTAGAAGCCACTGAGATTCTAGGGTCAACTGTTACCTAGCAAAGCAAACTAAAATGCTGTGCAGAACTGCTTTCCTTACAGGGGCCCTCTGCCAGCCCTTCTTGCCGTCTTCCCTGTGGCCACACACAATCCACCAAAACCTCTCTATGTCTCCTAAAGAGCTCACACATCTGTTTCTGTCCCACCTTCCTACTACCCCTACTACCAAATCTCTCTGACGCCACTCTCTGATGCCACATGGAGCACAGCATGTTCAGCTTGCTTCCCTCTAGTCTATTCTGCAAGCTGCCTCAATTGTGATCTTTCTAAAGCACAAATCTGATCACTCTGCTTTAAAAAAAAAGGTTTAGCCTACTGTCTCTAAAATCCAAACTCCTAATTAGTGCACATAAACCTTTTTCAATCTGCATATTATGTGCATTTGCCATACTGCTGAAGAATATTCAATTCTGCTTAATAGAAAACAAGAAAAACAAAGAACGTGGATGAAACTTGTAAGATATATTAACTGAAAACTTCTAAGTCATGCCAAGGAAAGACAAAAAAAATGGAACGTATGTGTGATGAACACAGATAAAAGGACAGAACAAAAGAGAGTATTACTCCTAGGCAGAAAGTTATGGATAGACCATGTAAATCTTACATATTATCAAAACACAATCATGCCACCTCCAGATTGACAGTCATCCCTAAATCAGCCACCCATTAGGGTCACATGTGTATTTTGCCTAGAAACAAAGATAAAAAGCACAGCTTCTGAGCTGACTGCTGGTAAGCCACAGCTCTTCCACGCATACATGTCCTGAGTCTCTTCGACAGAGCAAGTGTGTGCTTGCCACAGGCATACTCCATCCGAGAGTCCGCTTAATCTCATCTCTGGTCCTTGTGACTACCCTCTTGGCAGGGAAGGCTGACAGAGCAGAGAGAGGGAAGCCAGATGAACACTGCAGAGCTCAGGACTGGGTGTGTGCTCCCTCAATCCTACAGGTACCCGATCCTAAGTGTTAACTGACCCCAGATCTTTCCACTTGCTTCTTGCTGCATGTTTTGAATTGATTTAATAAGCAGCAATTTGAGCATCTTAACTTGATCTGGAGTCTCTTTACTCTGAACACTGAATGGCCCTCCTGGTGAAGTTCTTGGAAGCTACCACTGCATCAAGGCAATTTCCCATGCAACACACCAGCCCCATCCTTCCCCTCTGGCCTTATCTTGGGCCACTCTTGCAGTGCATGCTTGCGTAGACTCCTGCTGTCCTGAACCAGGTGCAGATCCCCAGGTGCAAATGCTCTGTGTGCTTCTGCACCTGCTGTAGTGCCTGGGAAGCCCTCCTCCTTCTTCACCTAATTCCTGTCTTCCTTTTAAAATTCAGATATTACCTCCCCTGGAAAGTCCTTCTGACCTCACTCTCATCCAGATAGGTTGCCCACCACACCCTATCCATGCTCCCCACAGCACTTATCAGAGTGAATTTTAATTGTTCATTTACTTTGCTGTCTTTTCTCCCACACTGTGAGCTCCACAGGATGACAGGCACTGTCAGCTCTGAAAGCATCTTTCATCTCCTTATGACAGATGTCTCCAGCTCTAGCACACAACCTGGCATAGAATAAATGCTGGAGGAATGAATGAATGCCTTGATAGAGTCCAAGGAATGTAAGTGAATTTTCTCCAACAAAAGAATTGTGTGAGTTCTTCAGGCATCTGTTCTTACTAAACAGGACCATTTATCTCAGTACAGAAGACATTGGAAATTGAGCTGAATCCTCCATGCTACTTGGGTATTTATTATAGCACACAGCAAAACAACTGAAACACAGCAGGTATTCAATAAATTTCTGTTAATGAGTAAGTGACTAAGTAAAAATATGAATATGTGAATGCTACCTTTTTTGAACTGAATTCCTGAGATTCATTTATTTGTTGCTGGGGTCTATAGAATGACCACAAATTAAAGTCAACTGAGACATCCAAAATTCACAAAGATACCATTTGAAATATCTCTTGAGAGTTCTATAGCCCTAAAAGTGTGAATGAAAATAAGATCTCATCAAGTTCAAAAGGATTCCTTAAATTTGTATTTTCTATTTAGTATCTTAGGATCCTGTCAAACTTAAATGACTTAACAGCTAGGTGAAAAATACATACATAGATTCCTAAGTGCTCCCCAGAATACAAAATCCCACCAAGCAATCAACCTGAATGGGAACTACAGGCTTAGTGGGAAGACAGCGAGCTGTGAGATCAACTTCTTTGTAAGCTTTAAAGCCCAACTTATAAAATGGAGTTTAGTGTAATAGCTACGATGGTCCAAGAATGGCTCTGGATGTCTCCAGCTCCAATTGCACGACCCTCCAAACTCTCTGATCATAAATAAAATTAAGTAACTGGATAGTTGCTGTCTTCCTTGATGGGTAGGGATCTTCTACCCCAGAAAATTAAGAAGTAACTGCCATTAAGCAAGATCTTATGTAAATCCTCCTTAGAACATAAGCTAAATGAGATGATAACTGAGGCAGAGATGCTAAGTATCTCCCACTATCTAAGTCTTTTCTTTCTCCCTTGTGTAACATAACTCCAGTTTTTTGCTGAACCCACACTGTGCAACTAATGACACAGCATTTCTCAGCCTCCCCTGTAGATGAAGTGACATATGAAACTTCTGGGTCACAGCTTTTAAAAGGAGGCTGGTTGTCCCCTCTTCCTTCTTTCCCCAGTCTGAGGCTGGAATGTGGAGAATAGCAGAGATAGTGGGAAGGGTGGCAGGAGCCTGCTTCTACCAAGAGAGAGCCATGGATAGCAGAAGGGAGATGATGGAACAAGACAGAAGGAAACTGGGTCCTTGGATGGCCTTACAGAACAGAACCACCTCCCTGAAAAACTTCTGGATTGAGCCACTGTAGTTCTGGGTCTCTGGAAGCAGCTACTGCCCTCTTTGGAGAAGGGGCAGCAGAATCAGTGGACAGGCCCCCATAAAGAGCCGTAAGGTCTTGGGTATTTATTATATAATTCCAAATTCATGAGTGAATGAGGCGCCATGCACGAACCAATGATGAAGGTGCATTCTGATCAGGGATTATAATCAATCCAAATCTGTGCACCTAAACTCCAAAGACGAAATGTTTTAAGATATTTGAATTTGTAAAAAGGATAAATATCATCGAAAATGTCCCTTAAGTGATCACAAATTTTTGCTCACCTTCTTAGAATGCTAAGATGGACTTAAAAGCCCAAAGAAGAACTATTAGGTTACCATGAACAACTCTTCATAGGTTAAAAAAAAGAGCCAAGTATCAGCAAGTTCATGATTCAACCTAACTGATCTTTAATTTGTAATTTTAATAAATTATAAATCACTATTTCAAACAAAAAGGAAGTTTCTGAATAGTCTTTTCTGCACTCAAAAAATTACCCTTGAGTTCACTAACTTCATATCAACAGTTGGTGGTCTTTGTACCAAACACAGAAGAGCAGCTGCAAACCTGCCTGATGGAACTTAAGTTATCAGAAGTTTTGCTGTTATGACTATGGAATCTCCATGTCCAGATCTCTTTTAAACCATTCAGTTATTATTCCTCTGGCTACTAGAAAGGGTATGAGATTAAAACCTCATCTACCACTTGCAGCTGGTGGCTTTAGAAATGTCATTTATCTCAGAACTTCAGTTCTTTTATCTCTAACATGACAATAATACTATCTTACGGAATTCTAAGCATTAGGGGTAATGTATGTAAAATGCCTAGCAAGGGCTTAATAAGTAGTATTATTCCCTGAGTATATTTAAAGCTAAATAAAACATTAGGAACCTGCAAGAGGAAATGCAGTGCCACAGACACAACTGCTCTCAGGTCACCTGCAAATCCATGCCCCCTTCTGAGCCCCCATTTCTGGCTCTCCCTTAAATATCTTTGCCTATCTCATGGCTCTTAATTTGGTCCACCTTGAATTCTAGTCAACTATTTCTAGTCTTATTCCTCTCTTCTTTTTCTCTCATCCCAATACAATGTCTTAAAGACACTGTGAATTGGAAATCCACTGAACATGGCTATCATCAGCATACTGGGTATCCATGTGGCAGTCAGGGAACACGAGGTGGGTAAGTGGGGGCCGAAAGGCAAGGACTCACTGCAGACACCTAGGGGAAGAAGCCTACACCCTGGGTTAGGGTCAGACCTCCAGAAGCCAGAGGGCGTGACTGCATCTGGTGGGAAGGCATCCCCGAAAGCCTGAGCAGGGGCGTGTTCCCACTGGATTTGTGTCTAGAAAGAGAACTCTGGACGTCAAGAGGAAAACCCACGGAAGGGACACAAAATAGGATGACATTTTCACAGTTCAGACAAAAAGATAATGAAGATGAGAATGAAATGAGGAAGAATGGAAATGAAGGAGTAAAGCTGGGGCTCCTGTGGAGTGGGGCCAACAGAACTTGTAACTGGCAGGAGTAGAGGAGGGGAAGAACAGGTTGGGGTGTTCATCTGAGGTTTTCTTTTTTCAGGCAAAGGAATATAAACAACTAGTTCTGGACACGTTATTGAGTTTGCAGTGTTTTCTGATAGTCTGGGTGAGATGTGCAGGGCTGCATGATGACACAGATCAGCCACTGAGGCTGCTTTTGGACCAAGAAGTTGTAGGGATGGATCACATGAGCAGGGGCACAGACTCGCAGAGCTGCGCAACAAAAACACGTGAGCCGCAAACACAGGCCATGTGGGTAGTTGTAAATTTTCCAGCAGCCATACTAAGAAGGTGAAAGGAAAGACAGATGACAGCAACTTTACTAGTACATTTTTATTTAACCCAAAGAATCCCAAGAGAAAAAGAGTCACAAAGGCCAGGAAAGAGCACTGGTAAGAAAACAAATTCTGTTTCAATTAAGACAGAGTTTCCTTAGAGCACATAAGTGAAAAACTCATTACTCACAGTTTCTGAAGAGGAAGATGGTTTCTGTAAATTCGCCCCTTGAACCCAAATGCTCTCTGTCACAAATGCTATGTGTTCTGCTTCAAGTATAAAAGGAGAAACAAGAAATAGGGCCCATTTGTTCAAGTCATCAATGGACTGGATTGAGGGAAAGAAACATACAAAAAAGAGGATTCAATATCACTTCAAACTACAACTGCCACTTACATCAACATCCGGGATACATCCCCACTGTAACTCTAGTGGGATAAGAATAAGGTTACCTGACACTCTCCTAGAGGCCACATCCACCTGGTATTTCTTGCTGAGCTGTGACTATTAAAACAACTGCAACTTCCCCTCTATGACTCATGACAGTTTTAACTCTAGATACTTCTTATCAAGTAGCTAATTCTGAAACTGTGCTCATCTCTATTATTCTTCACAGCTTAGAGCACGTAGATTTGCCAAATATTGGAAGCACATTTAAAGATGAGGAGGCTCAGAAGTGCATGCCAGTCAGCAGAAGCCTGTTTACTAACAGAAGCCTAAAGAGCTGTTCTTCCGTTTCCTTTAGCCATTATAGAAGCAAGACTGGCTTCCAGACTGGACATGTCCATTTATCTGTGCTCCCCTTCCTGAAATCTCTCTAAAGGGACAGTAAAATAATTTTAAAAGACTTTAACTCACTAAGAACAAGGCACATCCTGAGCAGAAAAGGCTGAGATCTAAGACTTCAGGTGAGGAGCCTTATCTTCACCCAAAAAAAGGGCATTTGGGTCAGGCTCCACAGTGTTGCTGACTAGTTCAAATCTGCCTTGCTGGGAAGATCAAAAAGTGTTTTCATCAGGCCTACTAACCTGGCATATAGTAGATGCTTACTAAATAGTTGCTGAACTAATTAATGATGAAAATTTGTGGGAGTAAAACTTCTCTCCATGGGTAAACATAACTATCAGTATAGTAGTTAAAAACAAAAATCAGACTGTCCCTTTTACTCAAACATAGAAAATGTATTTATTAAACAAAAAGTTTCAATTTTCCAGTTTGTGTAAACTATCAGTGGTTCCATTTATTTCTTGTGGGATTCTCAATTATATAAACACACACATTTCATACTTATACATCTGATTTTAAATATATAAAATATGGAGACAACAAAGGCATAAGATCCAGTTCTGTAAAGCTACTTCCACCCAGGTAGACTGACAATACGGTCTCCACTGAACCAAATCACTACCCCCAAGATATTTTAAATCATAAAATCACTTAAAACATCAGTAGCTAATCACAAATAGTCAAGCTTTCTAACTGTAGGCCCTAAACATCAGAGCTTAAACTGAACAACCACTGAACACCCTTCATTCATTGACATACCGCACGACTATTACAGGTCAAGCTACTAAGCTAAACAGACCCAGCTCTTTGCAAGAGAAAGATAAAACCTGGAACATGAAGGGTGATGTAAAGTCTATGTGGGCACAGAGCAGGCCGATCCCGTCTAGTCTAGAGAGCTAGGGAATGTCTCCATGAGACAGGTATCTGAGCAAAGCTCGAAGGTGAGGCAAAGTAACCCATCGTCAAAGGCGATACCACAGCAAGTTACAGAATCCTGAAAGCCCAATGTGGGTTTGGCGGGGGTTCTCTTACACCGGGCTGGAAAAGTCCACAAGGGCTGAAAAGCAATGTTACATTGATCATAGTTAACAGAAGACCAATAAAGTCTTGGAGATACTCAAAAGTAAAATTGTCTTCCAAGAAAATGAAAGACATCTACATCTCATTACTTCGGAATGTTCAAAATTTTTACTATAAACCTTAAAAGTTATTTTTTAAGTAAATGCATTCAGTTTTGACACCACTCCAGTAAGAATATCCAGTCCTCAGTTTCTCTTCATTTTGTTATCTTTCTCAGTCAGGGTTCCTTGAAAATTAAGCCCTCTTGCCCTCAGGTATCCCTGTATGTAATGAATGAAAGGCTCCCCTTGCCATGTAGGTGGTACTAGTTTTGGACTCTCATAGAACTGAGAACATAGCTACTCATTTTCCGTCTTACAGTGTACTAACAAGGAAGGGTGGTTTTGATTTGCTAGCAGCATATTATAATCCTGTACCTAGCATAACAAGAAAAGATCCAAACCTCAGATAAGATTCCCACATAGGTGCTGTGGTTTTAACACACACAGAAAAGCTCATTTTAATGCTTAACGTGAACGAACTTTCCAGAAGGAAGATAGGGCAAGAAACGAATTAATAGCAAAACGTTTTTACACGTTAATGAAAACAGTGATGTCAATGGAAATTTGCATAGAACCGCACTGTGAAGCACATTTCCTTCTGAATGGAAATAGCTGAAAAGGAAGTATTGTTCCCTTTACAGAGGCAGCAGAGGTTTTGCTGAGATTAAACGGCCCGCCCAAGTCCCACAGTGGGTGACAAAGCTAGATAACTGGTAGTCACCAGAGTAAGTACTAAGCCAAAAGCAAGGAGTGTATGCAAACCGATATAAAAGAGATGTAAAGGCAACTGATGGGGTGCCCTGGTTGGTAAATGCCGCAACTGACAGAAGAGGGAGCCAGGGCCGTTTTCTGTCACTCGGAGATATCTGACCGACGTCTGGGGATTTGCTGTCCTTTCACTGAATTCAGGTTCCTTCAAACTGCAGCCCACAGTGAGCAGGAGGATCTAGGAAAGAGACTGTCGGTGGACAGTGCTCTGGGCGTTCGGTGCCAGCGGCCATCGCACAGGCACACAGGCTCACCCCTACTTTAGAACGCCTGGAGCCCTGCGTCCGTACACTCGCCCCGGCACGCCGCGGAGAGGCGACCAGGTGGCCCGATCAATGGTGCCCCTCTCGGGGCTTCCGAGGGCGTCGCGCGCAGCGGAGCCAGGAGCTTGGCCTCCCGCGACCCCGCGGCCTCCGCGCTCACCCAGCCAGAGGCGGCGCAGGGTCGACGAGCGCTTCCGGCGAGAGCGCCCCGAGGCCGCGCCCCCCGCCGGCGCCCCGCGCCCGCCCACCTGGCTCTCGCAGACGCAGAAGATCCGGCCGCCGCGGCTCAGGCACACGCGGGCGCCCCGGGGCCGAGCGGCCGCGCCGCAGAAGGCGAAGGAACAGCGCGAGGCAAGTAGCCGCTGCACCGTGGTGCACACGAGCGCGGCCGGCCGGCGCCCCCAGCGCGCCCACAGGTACAGATAGCAGAGCGTGATGAGCATGGCCGGCCGGCCAGCGGCATTCGCGGGCCCGGGACGCCAGTCCCACCGGCCCGGCCCGCCCCTCCGCCCCGGCCGGAAGCGGCGGCGCCGCGGGGGAGTGGCTGCGCGGGGCTGGAGCGGGGAGACGGAGGGAGGAGACGGCGGGGGGGCGAGGCCGCGGGGCGGGAGGGGTAGTGGCCGCGGGGACGCAGCCGTGAGATGGAGCGGGGCGGGGGGGCAGGCCGTGGTTGGGGGGTGATCAAATAGGTTGGGGACCTAAAGGATGAGGCCCAGTGGCTGCCTGGCGTGTTTAGGCCAGAGTCTGGCCTCCCTTGACGGGGCGGAGGCAGATTGAAGGGGCTGTATCTGTGTTTATAACATTAATCAACCGGCACCATAAGGGGAGGTGAAGAGAGGGGGAAGCCGCAGGGCCGGAGGTGTGGGGGAAGATGGAGGGCTAATTGCAGAAACGATTTGAAGATGAATTACATAGATTCATCCAGTGCAGTAATATGTATGTGTGTGTATATGCATATATATTTTTTTCTGGCCTCTCTGAATTTTAAAATAAGGGCAGGAAACAAGTTGAAGACAGATCAGCACTAAAATACCTGCCTGGTGTCCTTGTACATGTGGGTCATTATTTCACCATGAGCATCCTAAGACCAGTAAAAAAGGGGAGACATGAATCATGATTCACAATATTCTTATACTTCAAGAGAAGCATAGTTATTCCTGAACCCCATTTTTTTTATAGGCAGTGTGTAAAAATACAGTCCTCCACAACTCTTGAGGCATAGCACAGATTTTTCCCTGCATTGTTCCTTCGTCTGGCCTTCGCTGTAAATGGATAGCATAATGCAGTAAAAGCAATCAGGAACACCAACCACTCCTAAGTCTTACTTTATCCAAGCATAGATTTTTTAAGTACCCTGACCATTTGTTCATCTGCTTTAAAACAGCATTACAGAAAATTCTCCCCATTGCATATAGCAATGATGGGCTTAAAATGAGAGAATCAAAAAGAAACAAGTGAACTCAAAAACAAAATAAGCATCACAGTGGACCAGAAATAAAAGACAGTTAAGTGATGAACAGGGCTGAAGTTATGTCCTGCACCTCAGTGGCAGTTGGGAAGTGGGTTCCTGCAGAATAGCATGACTTAAAATTGTATCACTGGAGAAAGGAGTGAGTCCCTTCACGAGGGACTCAGTCCTTCCATGATAACACAGGGCTACAAGTCAGGAATTAGAAAACGAGAAGTTTAACAAAGTGACAAACCACAATGTTTTATTAAAGACATACACTTCAGGTAGCCTTCTTGGAGTTTGCTTTATTCTGTCTCTAAGGTTCAGTCTCACTACCCCTGCTTGGTATGGAGAGGTCATCTCTTCTACCGGAGGGTCACAAGCATCTCCAGTTTTTCCAAGTCCCTGAAGAGCTTTGTTTTGCAACCTTATCTTCCCACAGACACCATAACTCCATCTGTCCAGAATGGGGACTTCCCATGTTAGCTCTCAGATGCTTCAAAATAACAGGGTCTCAGAAGACATGATGGGAAAATGTGTGGGGCAGCCCTGTATACCAGTTGGATTATAAAGGATGAAGGCACAGTGGGTGAGCATGAACCAAGAAGTTGGTGAGGTTCTTTCCAGACCTTGGATTGAGGAACACTGATACTAATCATACCCAGGAAGGAACACAGGAAAGCAGCTAAAAGAGGGGGAATAAGAGGACTTAGCAGAGACCCAGCAGGTTTCCTTTGTATCCTACCGAAAGTGATGAAGAAGGCTCAGGGATGGAGCTTGGCTTCATCATCCCCAGATAACAAAGGAAAAGGGGAAGGATGGGAAAATCAGACGTCGGGGGGCATCTCACTGTGTGTGTACCCAGTCCACACGCTACAGTCCTTGGCTGCTCAGCAGCATAGGCCTCACCTGGGAGCTCACTGGGAATTCAGGATCCCGCCCTGACCCACTGAGTCAGCATCTGCACTTTGACAGACTTCCCGGGTAATTCACAAACATTAAACTTCAAGGATGACTGCTGAAATCCACCTCCTACACTCCCTGGGTTTGGGTTGCTCTAGACTCTTTAACAAGACTCTTGCAATAAGAGAATAAGACCAAGACTAGGAATTTAAAAGGAAGACTTTGCCATTTATAAGAACATCATGCGTTCACACCAGCCAGTAACTGAGTGCACCTCAGTAACCCATCAAAATGACCAGCTGCTGTGGAAAAGGCCTTCCCAGACTCAAAATCTCTAGCCTCCCACCCTTAGGAGGCATGCCTGGAAATGATGGTTTGGGGACAAGGCTAAAATATTGACTAAAAGAATATCACTCCCCTGGAGGAACTGTCCTGCCCCCCATTAAATAGGTCATCGCTGCTCCCCAGTAAACCTATCATATTGACATTAGTTCTGTTTGAACTTGGAAAGCATTCCAAATTCTCATCAAATGGCCAGAGCTGAGAATGATAATTTGTTTTTCAAATAAAGAATCCCAGACTAGTAGGAAGCATTAAGTAGATGCTGGAATTTAAACAGTTGTTAACTGAAACAGTTCACATTTAGTAATTAAAGTACGTAGGCTCTGTTGTGTAAATAAAAGAATCTATTTTCTGCACCACAATGTTGGAATGCTAAAAATAAATGATACTCAGAGATCCCAGGGTCTCCACAATGATCATCTGTTTGAAAAGATGTCCTTTGAAAAAATGATTTAAATACAGTATTTAATTGAAATCATGAGGTTTTTGTTGATGAAGAGCTTTTCTTTGAATATTTGATTGTGCGATTAGCCAGAAATTATCAGTGTATTATCTCCATATGCAGTCAAACATTAAGTGAATTAAATATCTTAAACCAGTAGTCCTCTTTAATACTGGTTTAAACTCAAAAAGAAAAATTCCATTTTAGACTGATAGAAACAAAATACCAGGGAAAGAATAAATTTGAGGCTTGGGCTGTGATCAGGGCCTCAACCTGGGGGAAAAAATTGTCATTTCAATTACTGCTGACTAGAATTCCCAGCCCCTATAAAGGCAGAGATCAAACAAACCACTACCACTCCCCTTAGTCAAAGATTATTTGGAATTCCAATTTTTTAAACCATTTACTTCTATCAGGTAAATTTTGTATTAAATGCCTTGTACATTTCCATAAGTTAAGCCTTCTAATTATGTCAGGAAGCTAAGTTTATTATTTTAATTGCATTTTATTTTGATAAACCGGCTATTCTAATAACAGCTGATCCTTGAACAACATAGGTTTGAACTGCACAAGCCCACTTGTATACAGAATTTTTTTAAGTAAGTATATTGGAAAGTTTTTTGGAAATTGGTTACAATTTTAAAAAATTCACAGGTGAACTGCATAGCCTAGAAATACTGAAAAATTAAGGAAAGGTATATCATGATTGCATAAAATATATGAAGATACTATCTTATCTACATATATTTTATCATTTACTACCTATTATGTTATCACTTACTACCATAAAATCAAGAGTAGGCTATTAGTAGTTGAGTTTGAGATAGCCAAAAATTATATGCAAACTTTTTATTTCACTGGGGTCAGTGTCGTGAACCCCTCATTGTTTAAGGGTCAATTGTATTATTATTGTTTTTGGTTATTTTATATTTACCAAAAGGACTCTTAAGTTATACACCAAAGTTATCTGTATTAAAAATATGGATAATGGCAAAGGCAAGATGTGGATTTTGATCCAAGAATTAAAAGATGCTTTCACATAAAACCCTAAGAGCCTACTTTTTAATGCAGCATTATTTCTTAATTATATGGAATGGCAAAATAATAGCTCCCTGATTTCCCAACAGTAATAATAAACATATTAACTTGTAGTAGGTCAAGATAACTTTAAGTAGAACCATTTGAATCATTTATTCACTAAATAACTTATGGAAAGTGAATTCTTTGACTAAGGGTGTAACTATGTAACATGTGAAATTGGTAAGAGAATGTTACATATATTATAAAAGATCTTTTAAGATAGGATTGAGTATAGTTGAAATATATCAACTGTGTAAATGTGTAGATTCTAATATTAGAAATTAAATAATAGGCAGAACCAGTTTGGCTAGAGATGACACACGTGTGGACTTAAAGATGTTATTTAAGGGATTGCTTGTGGACAAGGCAGTGATGAAATGAAACATGCGGAATGTTGTAGGCTGAGCTGTCTGATTTCAAAGTGAAGTGGCAGGATGGATCCTCCTCCAGTAATTCAGTGTTTGAAGGGGGCTGGGAGCTGCTTGCTAAATTCTGCCACCTTCTAAGAACTTAAAACTATTAGCTATTAGAATGCCAGTATCTTCAAATTGAAAGCAAAATACAAACAATGGAACCAGACTCTCCATCAGATGAATATTCACAGAGCCACACCGAATGAGAGATTGTGAATTACTATACATCGTTACTGAGGTACTAATCATGAAGGGAACTAGACAGAAAATCTTCATCTCTATAAAGCGACTTTAATGCTCATAATAATATATTGCTTTTAAAACAATCATATTGTCAAATCAAGCAAAAAGCAACCTTATTAAAATAAAGAGATAAAATTAGAGGATCCAATTTAACAGTAAAATAATTAGGGTTTTACCTGTTAAAATAGCTGATCATTATCTAATAAAACTAGATATAAATCAAAAGAAGAAAAAGAACTCTTAAGTATTAGAAATTAAGAAACCCATTTTTAAATAACCTAGTAACTCAAAGAGGAAATAATGTTTAAAGTAAAAATTATTCATAAAGTAGCAAACAACAAATAGAAAAAAGAATGAAATTGAAAAAAAAAAAATTAGAGGATCTAAAGAATTTTAAATTAGAACACCTTAAACTATTGAAAATAATTTATATGAACTCATATCTTTAAGAGAGTAAGAAATACCTTCTCTAGCTTTGTTCACTGAGATAGCCTCAGAGTAACTTTACCCCCAAATGCATCCTAGTGCTGAGATCCAGTATGCATGCATATTTTCTCCTTGGAGAAATGGCTGACTGAGGTCATAGGGAGGTACCTGACGCAGCAGCACTCCTTGTACCTGTGTCAAAAGGATACAGGAGCCAACCCAAAAGGG